CACATATAAACTATATAAGAAAAGGTGTATGAATTTGATAAAGTCTTATCAAAGCATCTAGTATCAGAAATCTGAACTTTGGTAAGAGAGTCAATAAAGTATTGATTTCTAGAAGTCCAGCTGTTTTCTGAGTACATGTCAAAGCTAGTGGGAGCATAAGTGTTATGCTAATAATTATCATGTTAGTAGGAGCATGCTTATTATGTTAACTGTTAATTATAGAAAACAAAAGGGTTTCAATTGGGAAAGGTTGTTTTGCTATAATTAAGGGAGAGGAAATTATACTCCATTTCAATTCTAAAAACTTAGATTGAGATTTTGAACATCTTTAGTTAAGGATATATATATATATATATATATATATATATATATATATATATATATATATATATATATATATTGTTGGAATGGTTCAACATAAGGAAATTCTATATATATTGCGTTTTCAAAATTCGATTATGATTACGACATCCCTTTTCATTGTCAAATTTTGAAAACATGGAAAATAAAAAATATATATATTGTTGCAAAAGATTGGTCTAGTATCATATCTTTATGTGAGACATCATGAATCGTGTCCCATATGCTTCAGATATACGATTGATTGCATGTGCCGCAATATTAATCTTTTCTAAATTTTCCAAATGCTGAGGGCATTAAGAAGGGAAAAGTCTAGAATTGGATATGACTAAAATGATTAAGAAATTGTCGAGGATAATTTGAGGTTTACCAAAGATTGGTTGCTCATGGACAGTTGGAAGTATAAGTGATAATTTTGGAAAGGACCATAATTGACATATTCTGAAAAGAGGCAACTCTTGTTCAGAAATGATAGTCAATATGAGAATATGAAAATATTCCCATAGGTGGAGGTTATTCAATTTGTGTTAGATGAGAAAGCTTAATGCAAGAAGCATGTTCAAAGTAATGTACTTTGAATTTGAGACTTCATTTCAATGGAATTGATCTCCATTGGAATGCTCTGTAATGTCTGTTGACAAGTCTTTGTGACTTTGTGCATAGTCATTACGAGAGGATCAATGCATATAAGTTTAGAATCTAACAGATTTTGTTAAATGGTTGGAATTTGGAATTCGTACATTTACAATAAAGATTTGGGATTGTGAAATGAGCATCATTGGAATCATGTTCAGTTGATCTATTTCACAAAGTAAAGATCATAGATAAACATAGTGTGCATACTTGTTGTATGGCGTGACTAGTGTTTAGAAAACATAGTATACATGCTTGGAGCATGGGACAACTATTGTTTTAATTCAAGTATAAAGTTGATTATTTGAAACATTATACAATGAATAATGAGTAATCAATATGGTGTTTAAATAAAACGTGTTTTATTTACTCTCAAAGGTGCTTGGGACCATAGAGGATTAGTATTATTCTTGTGTTTCACTTTGCATGTTTTGACTTCCAGAATAACTAGGTTATTCTTTCTGAATGACTAAGTTATTCAAACCATCCGCAGTCGATAATACGTTGGAAGTAGGTATTAAGGCAAGACTGTCATGAATCGAGTTTGTAGATGTCCAAGGTAGTAGACATAGTAAAAGTTACTACAACATTCATGAGTACTCCTGGAATAGGGATTCGAGTATTGGATTCAACCCACACTCATTTGAATCACTTCATGGATTTTATCACGAGTGATCATGAGACGATAATATCTTATATTCTTCAAACCTAGAGATATGAGTTGTTACTATGAGTTGGTTGTACATTGATTGCACGAAAAAGCATTTGGTAACTCGATGTTATAAAACGTGCCTTTGTGTAAGAGTCAACAAGTAGTAGAACAAGCCATATGAGTCACCTTCGGGATAAAAGCTATATCTGTGGGCCCCTCGATGATTTTCTTATGTCAATCGTAAGTGCTCGGCTGGGCTTGGACTGATTTGATTTGTTCAATTAGTCAATCATCATAAATCAAAAATCATGAAACAACAAATGGAAAGATAGAATGATTATAATCCATGTCTCAGTCCATATGATATCTAGAATGGAGGAATATATGATCCCTTATCTAATGGACATGTCATTGATTTATTCAGAGTTCGGCAGCGGCTTTAAGAGCTACGATTGCTATTCGGGTTTTGGAGTCATATGCAAGAATAGTTTTAGACTTATCTAAGTGGGAGACTTTTGGATTAGGTGTCTAAGCTCATAAATATTATTGGTATGTATTCGACCCGAGAGTAGCATGGTCCATTTAGGTTACATATCATCAGGACAATTTGTTAGGATGGACTTTTGAGAGAAGGTTAATTATGGTTTATTAATATATTATAAGTTATAATATATTAATATGAGATCATATGTTTTAATTAGTATTGATCAAGAATTAATTTGGAATTAATTTAGTGATCAAAAGAGACTAATTAAATCTATGGGGACTAATTATGGTAATTAGTTATATTTATATGTGTTGGGCTTATGATCCATGTTGGACCAAGTTTATGTATGGATACATAAAGAGTTGGGCCACATGGACCACGGATCATAGCACCCATTGGTATGGATTTGGGTTATCCCCACGACTCTTGGAATCCAACATATAAATGTCCTACTTTATGACCAAAAACGTGTACACTTCTTTTCTTAGTGAAATATGGAGGTTTTTGGCGCATGTAATTCTCTCTCAAGTCCTACCTTTTTCCATGATGTGTTGTGACTTCATTTGAGGCTTCCACACTATTGGGGCTAAGCTCTTTAAGGCCAAATACACAAAGACTTCAAGATCCATCAAAAGGTATGTCATGCTAACTAGTATATTATATTTTTATGTTAAATGCATGCTAGTTGTAAGCTTAATTCCTTGGAAACCATTTGCATGTATAATTAGTGAAAACATAGAACCAAGGTATTTAGAGTTGTATGTACACTATAGGATGTTGTATTATACCGAAACCCAACAGTGGTATCAGAGCCATGGATTGTTTTCAATTATACTTGATGCAAGTTGCTAAAAAACTGAAAAAAATCGAATTTTTTGTTGTCTGAACAAGAGACTCGATGAGTCAAGTTATGGACTCGACGAGTCCATGAACAATTTCATCCAACTCATCAAGTTGGTTCATGCACTCGACGAGTTGGACCCCCTAACAACATATGTTCGTGTTTTTTTTGCCGTGTTTTGGATTAGAATCATTACCACAAAGTGTTTTTTTTCATAAAATTTGTTTTTTGATACTATGGTAATGTTTATTCTCATCCAAATAAATGATAATAATTAAAGTTTCAAGTTTTAAACATGTTTATATGATGCTTGAAAAATGTTGATTATGAATGTTCATGTTTATGAGTTTGTTTAGATTAATAGAAAAAATTATGAGATAGTTGTTTTCAATCCAAATTAATCTAGAAGTTAGTAATAATATGTGTTTTTGTAACTTGTCCTCAAGTTATTTGAAAAGTCACATTTATGAATTCTACAACTCATAAAATTTCCATAAGTTACGAAAAAATGAAGAGTCAAAGTTTTTTAAATGCTTGTAAAGTCTTCCATAACTTCTCTACAAGTTATGGAACTTGAAGAGTTTTTCCATTAAACCACTGTACAACTCATAAGTTATGGAAACCATAAGTTTTTGAATTGTTCAAAACTTGTCCTCAAGTTTTGGAATTTGTAAAGTCACCCCCCATATACACTTTAATTCTAAACTCTAGAATTTTAAAAGTTAAAGTTCAAACTTTATGTACTTCATTAAATTAATTAAAGTGTTTAATTAAAAACGTTAATGATTCCATAAAGATATGGTTTAAGTTTAATTAAATTAAGAGTATAGTTTAATTAATAAATTAAACCACCAAGTATTTTAAATGTTTAAAATACACCCTTATACTATTATAATATTAAAAGTGAATGATTATATATACATATACTGCCTATAAAATGGCAGTTTAATGGGTGTCCACTCTCACCCACCGCTTCCTTGACTGGTGGAGGGTCGTTAGCCGAACGGGTAGGACAAGGACTATAATTCTCCCTTCATTATAAGTATAATGATAAATACTAAGTAACTAAACACTTATTAATCCCAATCTTAGTTACTTAGGAAAATGTGATTTTGGTGCTAACCCATGAAATTCACACTTTGTACCTTACCAAGTCATTAGTGGAGCATGTGTGGGTAACCGACACCCTAACTTGGACTAGTAAGGATAACAAAGGGTGATTTAATGTTTATCATAGATCGGTGCAGTGCGTGTGGGTAACCGGCATATTGATTAGGTGATAATATTAAGGGTACCAAGTGAGTTTGCATTGTTATTCACACCTTGTTTTCTGATCCTCAGCATCACAGTCACACAATTTGAGAGGGCACACTCGAGATTGAAACATGCCATTGAAAAGTTTAGTGAATCTCAAAAGATCTAGGAGTTTCAGATCCAATTAAAATATAATAAATTATTTCGTTTTTCATGGTGGAAATTGGTGAATCGTCATTCGCCTACCTTCAAATATCTTATAGCTTGGATTACGACATCCCTCTTCCAAGTTATAAAATGTTGTGTTAGGTCCTAGCCTTAATATTTCATATTGGGTGTTATATTAAGGACTTAAAAATCAACTAACTCTAATATCTCCCATTTTAGATGTCTAGTTTAGACATCTATGATATACCCAAATCTCTTGGTCCAATAACCTTTACTGTTGTACTCTTTTTTGAACTCCAAAATTGATATTGTGGTTTGCTATGCTATAGATAAAATGAGATAAGTATCAGATTGACATCATTGTCAGATCCAAGAGAATTCTTAACTCTGTCAAAGTTGCGAAGCAAGAAAGCCTTCGGAGTCATGGGAAAATCAAGCTGCAAATCCAAAGTGTTTTCGACGTTAAACAAAGCAACTGGCTCCAGCTAGTAAACACTTGGATTATCGATGGCTTCATTCAAAATACGATCTCTTAACCAAGTAGGAAATAGTAGCTTTTGTGTTTCCAAAGTGACTTGAGCTTCACGTGCTTTCCTTTCTTTTTCTTATGCTTCCCGAACAATACGATGGTTTTCATCAATTTTAGCACGACGAGCTTTGCATCTTATTTTTACATTTTCATCTTCTTCTTCTTCTTCCTCATCATTATCATCATCATCCATAATTTTCTCTTTTCCTATTGATACCAAAGCTACATTATCCTTCGGATCATCAGACTTGGGTTTTTGTTTGTTATCATCTTCACCTTCAGTTCCTTCACCAACACCAAAAGTTCTCGCCGATTCTCTTCCTTGTTTTGGAATATAAGATTCTGAAACACCTTGAAATACGTCTAGGTTGGAGAAGATAGGCTTCAATTTCTCTGCCAGATGTTGACGAACAGAGATTGTGAGGAGAGAATCACAAGTCTTGATTAGATTGTACAAATCAACGTTCACATCAACAACGCAACATTTGATAACTACATTCTCGGATTTTTGTTCATCAATCTGGGATCATGCGATAAATTCACTTAGAGAACCTTCACCTTCTCAGTTTTAACAACGAGCACATCCATTATCTTGTTCTAAAGAGCCAAATCATCCTGAAGTTTTTCGATTTTGGAGGAGATGGAAGTTTGGAACTCAGAATTGTCAGTTTGGATCCCAGAGAAAACCTTTGTAAGAGCCGACTTTTCAGTTTGGAGAGTAGAAACAAGGTTGTTAATGGTTGTGTTCGCAGATGATGTGTTGCATTCTGATGAAGTGCAAAAATCCTCCATAAAGTTTTTAGTATAAAAAAGTAGTTTATCGACTTTTTCGCTTGTTTGCTCACAAGTCTTTTCAAAATCAACAACTGCTTTGTTTGTGAGGGTGAGATTTGCGACATGCTCCTGAGTAAGTGCTTCAAGGAAGGCTTTAATAGAAGCCTTGGAGTATTCACTACTGGAAGAGGCTTTGGTGGACCTTGAACTACCCTATTGTCATTGGAGCATCATCTTCGTCACTTTCTTGTCGAACAATGAAGGGGCTATAGTGGAAGTTTTCAAAAGCATCAAAATTGTCCCCGAAAACTGTACTTGGATCAGATGTTCCTATAGGAGAGATTGATGGAGAATTTGGACTAATAGTGACACCAGAAGCACCTACCTCTGTATCAGATATGTTCACGGTAACTGGACGTGTACTAGTGGTAGTTGTTGTTGTTGTTGTGAGTTCGGTGAAAAGGGGAGTGGAAAGTGCAACAGAAATCTAGGGTTGCGAAATTCCCACTGATACATTCGGACAAGGAGCAATCATGATAGGTGTAGTAGAAGCAGTAAGAGAAGGTGGAGTGGAATCCTAGAAAAAGTCATATGTTAATGGAACATAAGATGGTACGGAAAAAGTTACCTCAGGATGAGTAGATGATGGCTCCGAAACCACGAGTGTAAGGATTGTTTTTGTTCTAATTAGTCGAAGCATGTTTTGTACTCTTCGTATATTGTGTAATCTATTTTAGTAAGGCGCTTTTATATGAAGCTTAAGGGTTTATGCCTTAGTATATTTTTTGTATCCTTTATGTATCCTATAAATTGGATCATTTACTAGAGTTAGAGTCTTTTACAGTCTTATCTATTTTTCTCTGTAAACAAAAAGCGTAATAGAGCTGAAGTGAAATCTTATTGACATCCTGTGTTCAATCTCTCTTACATTCTTCAATATTAACTCTGATTAATATCTCACTCGATTCATTGATTCATCAATCGGTATCAGAGTAGGAATCATCTCTGTGATCTGATTTTCAATTGTTCAAAACGATTTTGAATCAACTTTTTGGTTCAGAAGTTTTCGCGCTTTTTGAAATTGAAAATTTCTCTTAGATCTAAGATTGTGATTTGATTCTGCATTTGGATTGTTGAATCGAGTGTTCTACTGGATTTTGTGAGTCGTTTCATATGATTGTTTTCAAATTCTCGTTGTTATATCAAAAATCTCTAAAAAATTCATTTGTTCAACATTGGTCCAAACTTTAATTCCGCATGCCAAACCATGTTCTTTGTCACTACAATTGGTATCAGAGTGGGTCTTCAAGATCAAAGTGATTTTTGAAGAACGATTCTTGGTTTGACAATTTTTGTCGCAATTTGAGCAATTTTGGTGAGTCTCTCTCTATGATCTCTCGTAATAATTGATTCGTACGTTGCGTTCTTGATTTTTGATCATTTGACTCGTTGGATCAAATTTTCTTTGAAAAACCCATTTGTTGTGATCCAATAATTTTTTCTTGATCAAGGTCCGATTCAATCTAATATTCGTTCGTTAGATTTAATTTTATAATAGCAACATGTCAAGCGCAATTAAAATTCAACTTACTGTTCATGATCATCGTTTGAGCCCAAAATTAATTTCACACTTATTAATCAAACACGTATTTCCCAAAGTCTCAAGTAAAATTCAGTTTGTGTGAGTCTACATATTTTTGTTCATTCTTTAGACTTATTCACACGCATCATATTTGTGTATCATTGGATCAAGTTTTCTTCATGATCGGTGGTTCTTGTGTTCTTCATCTCATTTTCCATTTTTTAATGAATGCTTAACGAAAAATGTGTGTCGATTTCTTGTATATCTGAAATCAAAATAGATTATCGATTGGGAAAATCTCGGTTGTGAAAACCAAATGTTGGAATCGATTTAGAATTACCATCGATATTTGATTGATTTGCTTTGAAATTAAAAATCGACTATTTCAACTTGGAATTGAATTTCAAAAATAAACTAGATTTTGAATTTGATTGTGATTTTGAATGTCTTGGATACAACTGTGTTGATGTGTAATGTTGTATCGATGATGGATTGAGGTTTGATTATTGAATGGCCAACCTTTAAAAAGTCAAATTTTGATTTCAATTTGAGATAACATTTTTAGCTTCAGTGATTTTTGGGTCAAGATTCGAATGGATAATAGTTTAGAGTCAATTGCTTGTTAACGAAAATGAAGCCCTAGATTTTAATGTTGATGATGAACTGGAATCAAATTTGATTTGGGGATGAATGGACCTTAGGTTGTGAACTAGAAGATCGACGGTTTGGGTTCCAGTGTGGTTGATGGATCTGGGGTTAATGATAAAAGAATTACACGAAATCAGGTCTTGAATTGGGGACAAATGGTCGACAGGGTTTACGTACGTGTTGAATGATTTTGACTTGGGAATTGATATTCGAATGATGAATTGATGGTGTATAAAAATGAAGAATCAAAGAGTTTGATGTTTCGAAGAATTGAAAATTCGTGTTTGGAGTTGTCGACTTCTTGCACGAGAGTTATGAAAGTTTGGTGATCATTGTTTTCTGGTTCGAATGGAGTTGATGGACGAAGGGTAATGGTCATGGTTGTGTAAAACATAAGAAGAGTGTGTTTGAGTTTTTGAGTAGAACGAAGGGTGTATATGGTTGAATGTACGAAGGAATTGTTGGGATTGAAATTCAAATGGTATTTTGAAATATATATACGAAAGGGGTGTTTGGGATTTGTACGAAGGGTCATTGTTCACTGGAGAGGCTTCGTATGCTTCGTATGATTTGAAAAGAAGGAAAACCAAATTTCCGTATATGTCCCTTGACACTTCATATGTTTGTCACTTTTCACCCAAGGATATTTCGTATGAATAATCAAATTTCGTATGAATTGAGCAAATGACACAAAGTTTCAAATTTGACCCTCGAACCTTCAAATTTTTGTCATTTCGAAAATTAACCCAAATTTCGAATGTTTGAAACTTTTCACCCAAATTCGAAAAAAAATTGGAGCTTCGTATATTTGGGGGATTCTTCGTATGAATTGAGAACAAAGGGCAGAATTGTCGAAAATGGACCCTGCAGTTTAAAAAATTTGGCAGTTTACACCCAAATTCGTAAAAAAGGTATGTTTTGCTAAAAATTGAAGAAAGTGCATTTCAGACCCCTGCAGTTTTTGCAAATTGATGTGTTTCTACCCTGATTTGAAAAAGGGTGAGAGTTTTGCATATTTTGCTATTTTGGGCGCAACGGGTCACTGCCAAGTTTTGAAATTGACAATTTCTACCCATTTTTGCGAAATTTTGTCAAAGGCGATCCGCGAACGAAACTAAAAATTGATTATCTTTTGGATTTTACGGATTGAAGCACAAAGTTTATGCCACATGTTAATGGGGTGTTTTGACACGAAAAATTCTGAATAGAGCACGTTCTTTTTCCTTGGAAATTTTATAATCAAATTTCGATAATAAAAGGGGGAGAAGTTTATATGGAAATTCGAACTTCAATTTTTCATATTACGTGGATTTGAAGACCGAAGTGATCTTGAATTTTTGAAGCCTACCAAATGATGCAATTAGAAGTTCGGAAATGATGTATTCGAAATGGGTTTGGTTTTATTGAAGATTTTTGGGGTGTGTTTTTATGCGCAACGTTTGGGTGATTATTTGGAGTTAATCATTTGTTGTTGCTTGGTTTGTATGGTCTCACATCCTAGAGCCCAAATTGTAGAGTCACGGAAGAATTGAAGATTGAAGTTTGTTTCTACTTGTGTCACCTTTGAGGTTCGAACCGCATAGTTGCTCGACTTTGGAAGAATTGAAGTGGGTCATTCATTCCTAATTTTGAGGGGGAGAATGTTGGGGTACAAATTTATTCATGACTGACTTTGTAAATGTTTGACTTTTGTAAACCCCAGTTGCATGTGGAGTATTAGCTTTATGACACATGAGAGATAGAGAGTGAGAGAGAGACACGTAAACACCTCTATACAAGGTGGGTTTTGTCAACTAGTAGAGGTGTGCTTGAGGGATGTAAAAGTTGAGTGTGTAAGTGTGTGTTATTTATGTAGTCTAGATCTAGATCCTTTTTGTAACACCATATACAATAAATACATCTCTTTAACACCTAAATCACCATGTTCAATTGTGCAAACTTTAATTCCACGTGCCAAACCATGTTCTTTGTCACTACATATAGACTTAGACACCTTATCCAACAGTCTCCCACATGGATAAGTCTGATAACTATAGCTGTAAGTACGACTTCAGGAATCGACTAGCAATCGTAGCTCTTAAAATACTTTTCCAAAATGTAACACACCATTTAGATAAGGGATCATATAATCCTTTGTTCTCAAGCTATCAGTCAGACAAATACATGAAACATAGTCATTCTTATTGTCCGACATTTGATTCCCGATTTTTCATTTTTTTGACATAGAACTTAATCGAACGTATCAATTGAGTTCTGACCGGGCTTGGCACATAAGTTAAAGCAAAATCATCGAGGGCCCATGATATCGCTTTTAATCCTCTAATGACTAAAAGGAACAGATAAACTTCGACTCATATACTTCTAACTACTCGTTAAATTGTAGACAATAGCACGTCTTATAGCATCAAGTTACTGATGCGG